GCAGCGAGGAGTGGGCGGGTGGAGGGGTGGGTGGGGAACGGCAGTGAGGCTGGGTGCAGGCAAGTCGCCGTGGTGCAGCAGCTGCCACCCCCCATCACAGCCAGCGGGAGCCCGGACGGCAGCACAACATGGGCAGCATGGGCAGCATGGGCACGCGCCTGGCGTGGGGGCATCCGCATCGGCCGTGCAGCCGCTGCCCGCGGCGCACCGAGCGACCCCCGCCACACACTTCACGCACTGCGTGGCCCCAGGTATTCTAGCGTACTAGTAGGATGGGCTGCAGGCAGCAGGAGCAGCAGCAGGGGGAGGACAGTGAGGTGGGGCGGTGAGAGCAGTGCCTTGCTGCCAGTACAGACACCATCATGGGTTGCAGTGCAGGCATGATGCGCCTGGCCAGCAGCTGGGAGAGCGCCTGCATCAGCGGCATGCCTCACCAGCTAATGCACGCGTCCTGCCCTGTGGCGTTCTGATACTGGCCAGCCGGACACGGCAAGCATTCCGAGTAGCCTGCAGGCCGCAAGGTCAACCGCGGATGAGCGGCGGGCTGCTGGCTGGCTGCCTCGCATACCTCCTCCCTGCCCTCGTGCCGCCCCTGCCACAAGAACCATACCGGATCCATCACCACCAGCAGCACCAGCGCCAGCACGCGCCTGTTGAGGGCGCGTACGTGCCCGCCGAACACGCTGTGTTGCAGGACGTCGCTCCCGCGCTAGAGGCGTGCTTGCCCGCTGAGCAGGCTGTGCAGCTGGTTCCGGCCGTCGAGTAGCTGCCTGCAGGCGGCACCCAAACCAAAAGGTTCAATGGAGTGGTGGTTGGGAAGGCGCTGAGCAGCGGCTGCGGCGCAGCTGCTGTGCCCCGCTTCAGGCATGTGCCATGGCAGCAGCACCACCCGGCAGGTGCAGAGGATCAAAGGAAAGCGGCGTATGCCGGATGCACACCTGGGGTGCACAGCGCGCACGCCTGGGTGAGCGCGGTCAGCGCCACCGGCCGCCTGCCGGGGCTGCAGTCTGGCGGGGCCAGCAGCGGATCTAGCTCGCACTCTTCTCCCACCGACAGCAGGCCCGCCACCAGGCACTGCACTTTCACTGCATGCGGCGCCAGCTTGGTCACTAGAGAGTTGGATGCGTTGTCTATCTGCACACGTGCAGAGAGCGCGCGGGCTGCCGTCACGCCTGCTGCCACGTCGCCAGCATGCCATGCCAGCCCTTCCGCAAGCCCACGGGCAGCCATCCTCCTCTGCTGCTGCCTGTTGTGCTGTCACCGCCACCCGCGGAAGAAGCTGAAATCGCTGCCGCCGCCGCCGCTGCCGCCGCCGCGTGCAGCTCAACTGGCGCATGCGCGTCGTGCTGGGCGGCGCGCAGGCACAGACGGCAGGCTGCCGAGGCAGGCATGCAAGCAGGCGCGCACCGATGTTATGCCGAACTTGAGCTGGCAGGTGTCTGCTGCGGTGGTCACCAGCACCGTGCCCGTGTCCCAGGCCACGCCGCTGACTGCTAACGCGTACGCGTCGCCATAGATGTGCCGTTCCAGCGCCGTCTGGATTGCTGCCTTTACCTCCGCCTCTGTTGGGTCGGAGCTGGTGGGCACGGCTGCCGAGGCGCTGGTGGGGCACTCCTGGAGGCGGGCGTAGGTGGCGGCAGCGTGCGTCGACCAGATGGCCGGCACGTATGCGCCGCCGCCGGCCAGCGGCGTCAGCTGTATGGCGCACGCGGCGTCGACGGCGACGCGGAACGTGGACAGGCAGCGCGCCAGCAGGCTGCTGCGGCAGTCGGTGCTGTTGGCGTTGAGTAGGTCCAGGGCCAGGTAGCCTGCACGACGCAGAGGGGAGCGGGGGCAGCGAGCGGCGGCGGCGGGGAGGTGGGTGGGAAGCTGGCGTGCAGCAGGCGTGCAGCAGGCGGCGGGCGGCGGCGCGCGCATGTGCCGCCGTGAACTCCCCCGGCCGCAGCGGTGGCTGAGCGGGCGCCGCAGAATGGCGGTGGACCAGCGCTGCTGGCGAGAGGGAGGGTGAGGCGGCTGGTGGGTCTCTTCCCACGCGAGCTTGTGCTTGACGGGACGCCTGGCGACGGCGGCCGTGGGACCCTGGCTGCCCTGCGCCGCGCCCCCCAGCGGCACCTCCCACCCTGCCTGCGGTTCTGACAGGCCCGTTTTCAGCTGCCTGCAGCGCCAACCGGGCGACCACATACCTGCGGTGCAGCCCGCGTGGGCGTGTTGCGCCACGGCCAGTAGAAGCAGCGCTCGCAGCGCCAGCTGCATGCCGTGCCGAGGAGGAGGCCCCCTGCCGGCTGGCGGCATGGTGGGGGCCTTCCTCACTCTGGAGAGGATACCATTCTCCAACCTCTCTCCCCGGCTACGCTGCCGCGCTGTAAATGCCACTCTAAGTGTCTGTCAGCCGTTTTCGGTGCCGCGGAAGTAAGACGGGCCGCAATTTGCTGGACGCCGCTCCGGATAGCGAGTTTCGACGAGTGCGCTATGTTGTATCGAGCTGAGTAATTTCTGTGTGAGTTGGAAGCGAGAGAAGCAGGCTAGCATACATGATTCGTAAAGCAGGCGATGCAGGGCCGCGCGAGACACGCTGGCATCTGTAAAGGCCGCTTGCGCTCCACCCTGAAGTGGCTGCCCGGCATCACATTCCTATTTGCACTACCTTTGTTGGCGATTACAGGGCATGCGTGCGCCAATCGACTGACAATCACGAGAAGGGGCACAGCGGACCGGACCAATCCGGAGCTACCCAACAGGCAGGAGCTGGGGCGAGGAGTGAAGCGGATGCTTAGAGGAGCAGCAGCTGAGTGGCGGTCGCGCAAAAGCCACCGCTGGCATGCGCCGCTGGCGCCGCCAGGTTGAAACACCGCCACCCCGTCAGCAGCTCTCCCTGCCAACTTCGGGTGGGTTAACGAAGGTGACGACATCAAATGCAAAATCAGGTGATGGAGGACTCGATAGTGTGGATCATTTGGGTGCAATCGCAGGGAAGCATGAGATCAGGGTGGATTGGTGTGCAGCGCACATCGTGCGCTGCCGATGCAGCAGAGCCGTGATGCACACACATGATGTGTGATTATGCACACACACACGAATACCAGAGTGGGTTTGAGGCATCAAGCCTGTGTTCTATCTTTTCCTTGTAAGGGGCACCACCTCATTCCTCACCGGTCGGCCAGGGTGGACAGCCAGGTGCAAGGGGCATCCCGCAGGCCCGACGCGAGGCGCACCTCAAGGCTGCTCCATCGGTTCTGCCGCCGCCGCCGCCGCGCCGCCGCCGTCCCCGTTGGCGGCGGCCGCCTCGTTCTCGGCGGCGGGCGCCGGGTCGCCCCCGGCGCCGCCATCCCCGGCGCCGCCCGCCGCGGCCGCCTTGGTGGCGCCGCCGGGCCGCCCCAGCGCCCGCATCATGCCAGAGTACAGGCTCGCCTCCTTCTTGCCCGCGCTCGCCTGCTGCTGCTTGAACTTCTTCAGCAGCAGCTTGAAGTCGGAGCTGGCCGGGTCCTGCGGCACACAGGCACGCGAATCGGTCCAAGCAAAGGGCATAAGCGCAGGCAGGCTGGGTGTGCGCCAGGACGAGGCGGCCGAGGGCTTGCACACCGCTCACTGCCGCGGGGGTTTGCAGGCGCCCAGCAACAACTTGTAGGTGGTTTAGAAACCCAAACCCACCTCTGCCAGGCCCCTCCGGATGTCCAGCTCCGCCTCTGTGAAGTCGGCGGTGGCCAGCCAGGCCTGGGCACGGCGGTAGAGCGCCTTGGGGTTGGAGCCATCGGCCTCCAGCACCTGCGCCAGGCGGGACGGGGCGGAGCGGAGAGGCCGTCGGCGGGTCGGCGGCAGAGGCACGTGAGCAAAGGCGCAGGGCAACGGGCGCACCCAGCGCCGCACACATCAGGCCACCGGCCACGCCGGCCAGCCCACCCATTTGAACCAAGATTGCCAGCAGACCGCCAAAGGTCCTGGCCAGCTGAGCAAACCGCGCCCATCCCCATCCGTACCGCGCACCCCCATCCGCACCGCCCACCTTGTCCGCCGCCTTGCGGGCCTCTACCGGGTTGCCCAGCTTGAGGTGGGCCGCCGCCAGGTTCAGACTGCAGCTCTTCTTCACCGCCTTGGCCGCCTGCTTGTCCTCGGCGCTAAAGCCCTCGTCAAACCTGGGGCGGCAGGGGGGTGGGGCGATGGGCAAGCGGGAGAGGGTTGAGGACAAGGGGGCGAGGGGCAGGGCATGTGCTCCTGCCGGCCTAGGGCCCCGGGAAGGCCTCACCAGCTCAGGCCCACAGCCCCGCCCAGCCTACCAACAGCACAGCCAAGCCAGCCTCACAGCCTCACAGCCCAGCCAGGCCACCCTGTCCTCTCCCAGCCGCCTCCCCTCCCTGCCACCACACCAACAGCCCCTGCCCCATCCACCTCTCTCCCACCCTTCCCAACCCCCCCAGCAGCTCAGCCCGCTCACTCGATGATTTCCTGGGCCTTGTTGTACCGCTGTACCGCCCGGCTGTACTGCCCCGCCTTGAACGCCGCGTTGCCCTTGTCCTTGGCCACCACCGCGGCGGCCAGCTTCTCGCCGACTTCCATCTCCCAGCTGTCCTTGGCCTGTGGCGCGGGGTGGGCGGCGTGCCGCCTCAGCGAAGCAGGGGAGGGAGGCTGCGCAAGGGCCGCGAGAGCCCAGCACGGCTGGCAGCGGCAGGCCCCACACCCAAACCCGCCATCAACCAAAAGCACCGAAGCCATCGCGCGCACCGCGCGCGCGCACCGCGCGCTCTGCCTCCCGACACAAAACACCCAGCACATGCACACCGTACCTTGACAAAGCTGGTGAGAGTGACATCATATTCCACGCTGCTGCCGGGAGGCACCTGCGCCTGCGGCTGCGCCGAGCCCTGCACCGCGGCGAGCCAGTGGGGTTGGAAAGCACGCCTAGGCGGAGCCGCGTGCCCTGCCCGGCTCTGGTGGTGGCAAGTGTGCGGCGGGGCAGGGGCAGGCATGCGCGCGGGGCAGATGACAGAGACACGTGACAGAGTACAGCAACGTTACAGCGGCGGTACAGTAGCGCCCCACCTGGTCGCCAAAGGCGTATTGCGGGGCCACCGTCACCAGCGCCCGCTCCCCTTCCTTCATCTTCATCACAGCCAGCTCCAGGCCGTCGCACGGCGCCTGGTCTGCAGGTGAGGGATCAGGGGCCAGGGTGGGAAGCCAGGTGGAGGCACGTTGGGGGGGGGGGGGGGGGGGGGGGGGGGGAAAAGGGCAAAAGC